TCAAAGCCTTCCTCCCCCCCCTAATGACCGGGAGTTGATGTATCTGTTCCTTTAATTAGCTGAGGGGTAATCCTCCTCCTCCTCCTCCTCCTCCTTCTTCTCTTCTCCCTCCTCCACCTCCTCTTTCCTCCTCCTCCCTTTCTCTTTTCCTCCTCCATCTCCTCCTCATCTATCTTCCAATCTTCCTCCTCCTCGTTGTCTTCCTCTTCATTATCTTCCTCATCGTTACCTCTCTCCTCCTCATTTTCTCTGCCTCCCAATCATCCCCTTCCTCCTCCTTCTCTCCTATGTTTTCCTATCTTCATCCTCGTCTTCCTTTTCGTTATCTTTTCACTTTCTCCTTCTCCTCCTCCTTCGTGTTATTCCTTCCCACATCAAACTACAACATCTCTAACACTAATTATACTCACCCAGACAAGCAAACAATGACTCGGCCAATCAGAGGGAGATGTAAACAAACCTTTCTTTACGCTTGTCACTGTCTTAGGGAGAGTTTCACCCGTAAGGTCTCTAGGATCATGGAGTGGTGATGGACGTGGTGGTAGTGGTGAAGGACGTGGTGGTGGTGGTAGTGGTGAAGGACGTGGTGGTGGTAGTGGTGAAGGACGTGGTGGTGATAGTAGGACGTGGTGGTGGTGGTAGTGAAGGACGTGGTGGTGGGTGAAGGACGTGGTGGTGGTAGTGGTGAAGGACGTGGTGGTGGTGTGTGGTGATGGACGTGGTGGTGGTGGTAGTGGTGATGGACGTGGTGGTGGTAGTGGTGAAGGACGTGGTGGTGGTAGTGGTGAAGGGCGTGGTGGTGGTAGTGGTGAAGGACGTGGTGGTGGTGGTAGTGGTGAAGGACGTGGTGGTGCTAGTGGTGAAGGGGCGTGGTGGTGATAGTGGTGAAGGACGTGGTGGTGGTGGTAGTGGTGAAGGACGTGGTGGTGGTAGTGGTGAAGGATGTGGTGGTGGTGGAGTGGTGAAGGACGTGGGTGGTAGTGGTGAAGGACGTGTGGTGGTGGTGTGGGTGGTGGTGGTAGTGGTGAAGGACGTGGTGGGGTGTGGTGAAGGACGTGGTGGTGGTAGTGGTGGACGTGGTGGTGGTAGTGGGGGGGTGTGGTAGTGGGGTGGTGGTGGTGGTGGTAGTGGAAGGACGTGGTGGTGGTGGTAGTGGTGAAGGACGTGGTGGTGGTGGTGGTAGTGGGGACGTGGTGGTGGTGGTAGTAGTGAAGGACGTGGTGGTGGTGGTAGTGGTGAAGGACGTGGTGGTGGTGGTAGTGGTGAAGGACGTGGTGGTGGTGGTAGTAGTGAGGACGTGGTGGTGGTGGTAGTGGTGAAGGACGTGGTGGTGGTGGTAGTAGTGAAGGAAGGACGTGGTGGTGGTGGTAGTAGTGGGACGTGGTGGTGGTGGTGGGAGGTGTAGTAGTGAAGGACGTGGTGGTGGTGGTAGTAGTGAAGGACGTGGTGGTGGTAGTGGTGATGGACGTGGTGGTGGTAGTGGTGATGGACGTGTGGTAGTGGTGATGGACGTGGTGGTGGTGTGGTGATGGACGTGGTGGTGGTAGTGGTGATGGACGTGGTGGTGGTAGTGGTGAAGGACGTGGTGGTGGTAGTGGTGAAGGACGTGGTGGTGGTAGTGGTGATGGACGTGGTGGTGGTAGTGGTGATGGACGTGGTGGTGGTAGTGGTGATGGACGTGGTGGTGGTGAGTGGTGATGGACGTGGTGGTGGTAGTGGTGATGGACGTGGTGGTGGTAGTGGTGAAGGACGTGGTGGTGGTAGTGGTGATGGACGTGGTGGTGGTAGTGGTGGGACGTGGTGGTGGTAGTGGTGAAGGACGTGGTGGTGGTAGTAGTGAAGGACGTGGTGGTGGTAGTGGTGGACGTGGTGGTGGTAGTGGTGGGACGTGGTGGTGGTAGTGGTGAAGGACGTGGTGGTGGTAGTGGTGAAGGACGTGGTGGTGTGGTGATGGACGTGGTGGTGGTAGTGGTGAAGGACGTGGTGGTGGTAGTAGTGAGGACGTGGTGGTGGTAGTGGTGAAGGACGTGGTGGTGGTAGTGGTGAAGGACGTGGTGGTGGTAGTGGTGAAGGACGTGGTGGTGGTAGTGGTGATATTGGGGTTTTGGCGCGGGGTACCCGGACGAAATCATCTTGCGTAGTTCTCAGCCCTCAGCCCTTCACCCTCCCTTCTGCAGTAGACCACAGCCCCCCACACACACACCATTGGCACCAAATAAAGGGAGTAGGGTGTAGGGTGTAGGAAAAGTCTTAGCAAGTAAGAAAATGATTGATTAATGAGTTTGTATGACAGTGGTGTGTGTGTGTGTGTGTGACAGTGGTGTATGTGTGTATGACAGTGGTGTGTGTGTGTGTGTGTGAGTGGTTGTGTGTATGAGTGGTGTGTGTGTGTGTGTGTGTGTGTGTGTATGACAGTGGTGTATGTGTATGACAGTGGTGTGTGTGTGTGTGTGTGACAGTGGTGTATGTGTGTATGACAGTGTGTGTGTGGGAGGTGGCGGGACCCAGGCAAGGGAGAAACTTACGTGAAAGTTTTAGTGTGTGTGAGTGACGCTGGTATTTCTCTTTCTCTCTGTATGCATGTATGTATTTCTGTATGTAATCTATTTCTGTATGTAATGTATGTATTTGTATGTAATTTGCGTCTTTCATTCCCTTCAGACTATTTAACATTTCCACGAGATGTGTCCTCTCGTGTCTTGCCCGTAGAACTGTTTGTCCCAAGACCTTCAGTCTACTTGGATTATCGAGATGGTACAGTTCGTAAATCGTCTTAGTTGCTCTGTGCTGCATCTTTTCTAGTGATGTTATGTCTTTCTGGTGGTAAAGTTTTCACGTATGTATAAAGCAATCCAGATGAGGACGTAGGAAATGCCTATCACTACGCCTATGTATGTATGTATGTATGTATGTATGCATGTATGTATGTATGTATGACTGGCAGCGGCGGGACAAGCATACAAGTCTTCCTCCCGCGACCGACAGCGATCATAGGCACGTAACTCCCACAGTGTAAACTCTCGCCCTAACACTTCAGCAAGACCTGTAGATCTTTGTATGTTAGGATCGTCTCTGGAACCTCTAATTATTTCTGCTCTTTAACGTCGTTTATGTGAACTTAATGCGAGTCTTCGGGTGATGACGTGACTTGTATGAGGAATCAAGGGGCGTAAGATGAAATGATAGCGTAAGTGTGAGACGAAAGTTGGGAATAACGCACACACACACACACACAGGTGAATTTCTGTCATCAAGAACATAGGTAGAAATGGGATGGAAAAAATAGGGTTCATTGTTAAGATATATGACTCCTGTTATTATACAAAGGGTTCAGGGTTCGGTGGTTCAGGGTTCGGTGGTTCATGGCTAACTGTCCGCGTCCTTCATTGTTCCACCCTAGCAAGGCTTCATGGCCGCACTAGAGGTTCGGATTCAATTAATATTTTCATTTTCTTGTTGACTTTCTTTTTTATGCAGTAATATCATTAATAATCTGTATTTTCTGTTTTATTTCCGGATTTGATAACGTAATTAATTCCCACAAAGAAGATTGTGATGTAGCTCCCTCCTCATCTCCCCATCTCTCCCCCTCCCCATCTCCCCATCTCCCTCCTCATCTCCCACATCTGCCTCTCCCCATCTCCCCACATCTCCCCTTCCTCCCCATCTCCCCATCTCTCCAACATTTTATGACTGCTGTAAGAACAGGTCACTAATATAAAATGTTGTTGATGTTCATATCTTTTTCCCCCAAGCAAAAGTCAGTCATTTGAACATCCGGGTAACCTGATACCAGCGTCCCCTTGCAGTTTCCTCTAAACCTAACCTAACCTAACCCTATCCTAGGTAACGGTAAGGTGGTTACTCTTCAGGTAAAATAAGCTGGGGTGTGTGATCTTCAGGTGGTCCAAGAGAATGAGAAGGTGACATATATAATGTGACAACAGTTTTAAATATGTATAAAAGGATATAGGTGTAGGTCCTCTCAGCAGCCCCCCCTCTCTTGGCTGGGTGTTGCTAGGATAGGGGTAACTAGGTTAGGTGAGGTAAGCCGTACTGTGGGGAGGTGGGCTGGGTGAGATGAAGGGTATTGCACTGAGATTATGTAACTACACGTTTACATAACCACCTACACCCCTACACACACCTACACCCCTACACACACCCACACCCCTACACACACCTACAGTACACCCCTACACACACCTACATCCCCTACACACACCTACACCCCTACTGAGATTGTCAAAGTTTCCGACGCTGTAACTACTCACTAATGATATATGTTGAGAAAATGGTGTTGAAAATGCACCGAGACTCGATCGTAACAATGTTCAGTTCCCATGTCGTCGTGAGGATGTGAGGTTATGAGAGTGTGGAGGTTAGTTGGTGAGGGACTGAGGTTGAGGAGGGTGTGGTGGTAGTCGGCGTGTGGTGGTAGTCGGTGTGGTGGTAGTCGGTGTGGTGGTAGTCGGCGTGTGGTGGTAGTCGGTGTGGTGGTAGTAGTCGGCGTGTGGTGGTAGTCGGTGTGGTGGTAGTAGTCGGCGTGTGGTGGTAGTCGGTGTGGTGGGATCTCGTTATGAACTTATTGTGTCGGTAGGAAGGTAAACCGTCGACAGTATATGAGTTTGAGATTAAATTTCCCCAACGTCAAGATGTATAATGGCGCAGTATAAGTCGTGGTATATGTATGATAAGACTATACACCGTAGTATACAGTATTAGGTGTATAGGTATTATAATGTCGTGTGTGTGTCGGTCATTGGGGTGAAAGATTCGGAGACGGTGGATGGATGTCTGAGATAATATTCCTCAGTAAATGAAAGTATAGTACGCCTTGTGACTCACTCAACACGCGTTCTTCATTCATCAAGTCTTCACAGGCGCTAGTTATCTCTGACGTCATACTGAAACCGAATTATATTAAGAGGTCCTTTGTACTTACCACACGAGGAAGATGCCATAGTTATTAAGTAAACAAACCAAGGCGTGTAACTCACCAGTGTGGAGTCATAGTGGTGGTGGGTGGCTGCTGCGCCTCTACACGCTAACTCTCAATACTTCACACTTGGTGGCGCTGCTCACTACACCTGGCAGGTCCCGACGCGGCTATCTGTGTGTAGTTGGAGGTGTTCGTCGCTCTACACACCCTTCCACTTGTTATACAAATAAAAATTCAAGGACAACCGATGATAATAACGCGGGGGGAATTTTCAGACGGGATTAAAGACGTAGTGGATGAATACCAAAGCAGCTCCGGACTCTTTCAAAACACTGAATACATAACACGTCACTAGGCTATTTTTCTTCAATTTTCTGTCTAGCAAAGGAAGGTGTAATCCTGTAGGAGTGTAGAGCAACGGGTGTCTCGGGCGTGGGTGTGGGCGGCGCCGCGTGTGTCTGTCCGGAGACTGCGGCTGGAGTGTGCTACGGCAGTCTTCTACGGCCCATAATATTTTCACTTTCTGTTATAACACTTTCCCTGACCGGTGATGGCTAGTGGCTCAGTGATTAAGGTGGGTGGGTGGGGTGGTGGTGGGTGAATATGGTGTTCGAATGTGGGTGGGTGAATGTGTATGATGGTCAGGTGGGTGAGTGTATGATGGTCAGGTGGGTGAGTGTGTATGATGGTCAGGTGGGTGAATGTGTATGATGGTGGGGGTGGGTGAGTGTGTATGATGGTCAGGTGGGTGAGTGTGTAGATGGTCAGGTGGGTAGGAGTGTATGATGGTCAGGTGGGTGAGTGTGTATGATGGTCAGGTGGGTGAGTGTGTATGATGGTCAGGTGGGTGAGTGATGATGGTGTGGGTGAGGGTGTATGATGGTCAGGTGTGGAGTGTATGGATGGTCAGGTGGGTGAGTGTGTATGATGGTCAGGTGGGTGAGTGTATGATGGTCAGGTGGGTGAGTGTGTATGATGGTCAGGTGGGTGAGTGTATGGGGGTGAATGAGAGGGAGGAACCAGAATCATCCTCGACGCCTATAATAGATAATGTAATCTACTGCACCATTGTTTGTAGGATCTTGTCAACGCCACTACACCTCAGTAGACAGATTGAGACCGCCACCACACCTCAGTAGACAGATTGAGAACGCCACTAACACCTCAGTAGACAGATTGAGAACGCCACTAACACCTCAGTAGACAGATTGAGAACGCCACTAACACCTCAGTAGACAGATTGCGAACGCCACTAACACCTCAGTAGACAGATTGAGAACACCACTAACACCTCAGTAGACAGATTGAGAACGCCACTAACACCTCAGTAGACAGATTGAGAACGCCACTAACACCTCAGTAGACAGATTGAGAACGCCACTAACACCTCAGTAGACAGATTGAGAACGCCACTAACACCTCAGTAAACAGATTAAGAGACTGGCTCCCTTATGACCACTGAGAATAACAGGTCTATAGTTAACTTGTTTCTTTACTATATATTTCTCTCTCCTCTCTTTTGTTTGTGTACTGAAAGGTTCTGTTAAATCACCTATTCCCCAATTTCACCATTTGTATCTCTTATCATTAATGTTTACCGCCTTCAATACACCGTTAATTCTTCTTCTTCTTCTTCTTCTTCTTCTTCTTCTTCTTCTTCTTCTTCTTCTTCTTCTTCTTCTTCTTCTTCTTCTTCTTCTTCTTCTTCTTCTTATTCTTATTCTTCGTATTCGTATTCGTATTCGTATTCTTATTCTTATTCTTATTCTTCCTATTCTTATTCTTCTTATTCTTCTTATTCTTCTTACTCTTCTTATTCTTCTTATTCTTCTTTCTTATTCTTCTTTCTTATTCTTATTCTTATTCGTATTCTTATTCGTATTCTTATTATTATTCTTATTATTATTCTTATTATTATTATTATTATTATTATTATTATTATTATTATTATTATTATTATTATTATTATTATTATTATTTTTATTATTATTATTATTATTACACGTATCACTCAACACTGCTCCCAGATAGAGAAGGTAAATAATCTTGTTTTTCTCGTAAATAATAACTACGGTGAAAGCTTTAGAGAGCTAAGAGGAACCACGTCATCTGGGTAAAGCAAGCACGGCGCTGGTGTTGTCTTGTCAGGCCTTAAGTGTGTCAGCTATTGGTCATCTTAGCGTAATGTAGCGATGTTTTTGAGTGACTTCTGATTATGCCCGTTGTGTGAATGATGAAGAAAATATTGTTATCCTACACCCACCTACACCCGCCTCCAACACACCTACACCCACCCCTACACCCACCTATACCCACCTCCAACACACCTACACCCACCCGTACACCCACCTACACCCCACCTATACTCCACCTCCAACACACCTACACCCACTCCCCTACACCCACTCTACACCCACCTTATACCCACTCCCTCCAACACATCTCCACACTCCACCCCTACACTCCACCTACACTCCACTCTACACCCACCTCCAACACACACCCACACCCACCCCACACCCACCTACACCTGACCTATACCCACCCACACACCCACACCCACCCCTACACCCACCTACACCCACCTATACCCACCTCCAACACACCTACACCCACCCCCACACTCCACCTACACCACTCATACCCACCTCCAACACACCCACACCCACTCCCCACACCCACACCCACCTATACCCACACCTCCACACACACACCTACACCCACCCCCTACACCCACCATACCCACCTCCAACACACCCACACACCCACCCCTACACCCACCCTCCACCATTCCACACCCACTCCCCACACTCCACCTACACCCACCTATACCTACCTCCAACACACCTACACCCACCCCTACACCCACCTCCATGCTTTCGAGCTGTCGTTACCAATCCTCCTAGATTTTGTATCTCCGGGAACTGCAGCTTTTAATTTGTTTCTTCTTCCCAATCTCTACCTTCTCTCATCCTCCTCTATCATTATTGCCTCATCTTTCTTTATATAACCTAACCTAACCCAACCCCCCAGACCCCGTCATCACCTACTGGAGTGTCCGTGTCTCTCGCCTCACCCATCATCAGACAACAGTTAAGGTGTCGGGTTACAGTTTACACCTCAACACGCACAGTAAATGATAATATTCTCTAGTGGTGTGAGATCCCCCCCTCCCCCCTCCTCCCCAAGTTTAGTCCACCTTGATTGTTGTCTTATGCGCCTCATTCCTCTCTCTCGTAGGTGTCTTAGGTTAGGTTATGTTAGGTTAAACCAGTGTTGTTGTATACTGATAATTATACCACAGAGGTTCTTCTATTGTAGACCGAATTTTCTAGTGGCTCGGTTGCGTCTTAGGACCACGGGGTGGGGGTGGGGGGTTCTTGACTTGGACTTAAGACAACACTGTGTTAACTAGGTCGTTACTTCCTGCTACACCAGTAATGATCTGCCAGGTGGTCCCCAGGTGTACGGGCGCCCCGAGCAGGTGGTGACTGGTGTTGGATATAAAAGTCGAACATTACAGGGGGCGGATCCAGGAATATCAAAAGGGAGTGCAAGAAGTTTTGGGTGGGGGAGCATGGCGAGCACAGCAAGCCCACATTGCTGTTTTGGGGGGGAAGCGCTGTAAGTCGCCTCATAATTTTTTTTTGAAATCTGACCAATATCATGGGCATTTTGAGGCCAATTTGAGGCCATGTGCACTTGATATTAGGAGATATTCTGAGGTCAATAGTAATTACTTTTTATTATGCAAAAATGCCTGAGTACAATACTGCATTAAATAAAAAGTATCTGCCCTTGCATTGACACATAGTCCAATTAGTAAATAATTTGTTAGTTCTCACAGCTTATCATTCATGGGTTGATTGACTGGTTGATGGTTTATATCCACGACGTTGTCATCCACTGTCCATCAGGTTGACAGGGCATAATCACGGCTAATCATCTTGAAAACAAGACAGACAGAAAAGAACCCTATATGAAGCACACAAACGGAGTATATGAACATAATCACGCCAAACAGAGACAGACAGACAGACAGACACAGAAAGACACCGATTAATCAACAGGTGGAGAAAGGCAGAGGTGCAAATCGGCCGACTTTCACGAGAATCAGCTGTTGAGTCACCTGTGTAACCAATGGTGGTCGGTGGGTCCAGGTGATGCAGTGAAACATTCAACTCCGGGAAGGAAGAACAGTTAAACACTCATTAATTTAACATATCTGCATCTTAATCTTGAGTGAATATGGTCACGGTTAAGTGTTAATTTCACCGTTAGATTGACTTTGTTTTTGTTGCTACATGTTAACTGTTGAGAGGTGTGTTGTGTGTGTTGGTTTAAATGTTGTGGATGCAAATTCTCTCTCTCTCTCTCTCTCTCTCTCTCTCTCTCTCTCTCTCTCTCTCTCTCTCTCTCTTATTCTTCTTTCTCTCTCTTCCTCCTCTTCTTCTTCTTTTTCCTATTGTTCTTCCTTCTCTTGTTCGTCTTCCTACGCTTCATCCTGTTCCTCTTCTTCCTTCTTATCTTCCTCTTCCCCCTTTTCCTCCCCTCCTTCCTCCTCATCTTCCTCCTCTCAACTTAAAGAGAGTGAAGGTGTTGGAAGCCCAATAGCCACACGTGTTCCAGATCATTAAGTTGACAATAAAGTAATGGTTAAAATAGGTGGAAAATGGCCAACAATTCGACCATCTAACATGTCTGCCTTTCACCACGAAACTCTAAAGGTAATCTTATGTAATTATGGCACAGGTGATTAACAGAGAATGGTGGTGATTGTAGTGATGATGGTAATGGTAATACGTGTAAGTAATGGTAGTGATGATGGTAATGTTAATATGTGTAAGTAATGGTAGTGATGATGGTAATGTTAATACGTGTAAGTAATGGTGGTGATGATGGTAATGTTAATATGTGTAAATAATGGCGGTGATGGTAATGATGATGGTAATGTTAATATGTGTAAGTAATGGTGGTGATGATGGTAATGTTAATACGTGTAAGTGATGGTAATGATGATGGTAATGTTAATATGTGTAAATAATGGCGGTGATGGTAATGATGATGGTAATGTTAATATGTGTAAGTAATGGTAGTGATGATGGTAATGTTAATACGTGTAAGTGATGGTAATGATGATGGTAATGTTAATATGTGTAAATAATGGCGGTGATGGTAATGATGATGGTAATGTTAATATGTGTAAGTAATGGTGGTGATGATGGTAATGTTAATATGTGTAAATAATGGTGGTGATGATGGTAATGTTAATATGTGTAAATAATGGTGGTGATGATGGTAATGTTAATATGTGTAAGGATGGTAATGATGATGGTAATGTTAATATGTAAAATAATGGCGGTGATGGTAATGATGATGGTAATGTTATTGCGTAAGTAATGGCAGTGATGATGGTAATGTTAATACGTGTAAGTGATGGTAATGATGATGGTACTGTTAATATGTGTAAATAATGCGTGATGGTAATGATGATGGTAAAATGTTAATATGTGTAAGTAATGGTGGCGATGATGGTAATGTTAATTATGTAAATAATGGTGGTGATGATGGTAATGTTAATATGTGTAAATAATGGTGGTGATGATGGTAATGTTAATATGTGTAAATAATTTATGGTGATGGTAATGATGATGGCATGTTAATATGTAAATAATGGCGGTGATGGTAATGATGATGGTAATGTTAATATGTGTTAATGGTGGTGATGATGGCATGTTAATATGTGTAAGTAATGGTGGTGATGATGGTAATGTTAATATGTGTAAATAATGGCGGTGATGGTAATGATGATGGGTAATGTTAATTATGTGTAAATAATGGCGGTGATGGTAATGATGATGGTAATGTTAATATGTGTAAATAATGGCGGTGATGGTAATGATGATGGTAATGTTAATATGTGTAAGTAATGGTGGTGATGATGGTAATGTTAATATGTGTAAATAATGGCGGTGATGGTAATGATGATGGTAATGTTAATATGTGTAAGTAATGGTGGTGATGATGGTAATGTTAATATGTGTAAATAATGGTGGTGATGGGATTGATAAATATGGTCTTGTAAGAATTTCTGGCTCGTGTTTTTACAATAGGTGTTGATTTACAAGTGTGTGTCAGCCTCGAGTCCACGCTGTCTGTCTGTTTGTCTGTCTCACTGTCTGTTTTTATGTCTGTCTGTCTGTCACACTCTTTCTGTCTGTCACACTGTCTGTCTGTCTGTCTGTCTGTCTGTCCTTTTATGAACGTTATTAGAAGAATAACGGAAATAACGGTCTGTTGAATGGGGAGGCGAAGCAGCAGGTGTTGATGAATTACTGAAAGGAAAAATCCAGAGAGAAATTCTATCATCATGAAGTAAAAGAAACAAGAAGGAAATGTATTTATAAACGTCCAGTGGTATAGTTTCATCAGTAATCTCAACGCCACACTAGCGAGGAATTACCTTCTATTGACACAATGATGAGTTGCAAAATTGAGCAGTGCAGTCATTTATTTCAATGGAGTCATTATTGTGTGTGCGTGTGTGTGTGTGTGTGTGTGTGTGTGTGCGCGTGTGTGTGTGTGTGCGCGTGTGTGTCTGAGGCGGAACATCCACTTTCTATCTCTCGCCGCGGGAGTATTGTCTCAGGTATTAATGTGGTACTTATGCCCCTCTAACTCAATACCTGGACTCAACTGGTGTCATTATCTCCTGTTCCTGTCAGCACCATCCAGAACTGTGTGTCAGCACCATCCCGAACTGTGTGTCAGCACCATCTCGAACTGTGTCAGCACCATCCCGAACTGTGTGTCAGCACCATCTCGAACTGTGTCAGCACCATTCCTGACCTGTGTGTCAGCACTTCACGAACTGCCTCGACCTTTTACAGATACCAACCCGAGATATCTTAAACTACATCTTGTTAGTACCAACCCAAACTATCAAGAGTGTCTGGCAGTGTCTAAGATTAATCTGGGGGTGTGTGAGAGTGCCTGGCAGTGTCTGAAAGTATCTAGGAGTGTCCGGCAGTAACTCCCGTAAGTCGTTTTCTTAAGTGTGATTTTATGAGTATTGTCGACGGGATTAATGGGTATTGTGATTTTATCTGTGAAGTATTGAAAGGGTCGTCTCTCTCTCTCTCTCTCTAATAGAAAATAAGAAAAAAATATGTAGCGAAGGATAACAAAGTTTCACCCCGCCCGGGAATCGAATTCAGGACCACTGACTTGTGAGGCTAGTGTGCTAACCCCCTCAGACACCACTCAATTACTCTATGGGAAAATGGATTGTAAAAATTGAGGATAAATTATGAGCAAAGCATTTTATATTAAGTGCAGTGAGTATTAGGGTTTGTGTGTGCGTCATGTCGCCCTGAGACGTTCACTCCAACAAGCTATACAACTGGTAATTACATATCGGAAAACTACGTGACCGACGTCTGTGAAACTTAAGTATTGAGGAAGTCAGTAGCTACTCTACTTAAGTGCTACGTTATTACGTCGCGCAAGTCACACTTCCCATTGACTGGTAGTGACGGTCTGTACTCGCACAAGATGAGAGAAATCCCTAAATGACGCCGTGAAGGTGAGACACTCATTCACTCACGAGTGTCTTGCAGCAGTTGATTTTCATGACGTAAAAGTAACATTGTCGAGATATGATCATCTACCGCAGAGGTGTCGTAAGGTAAATGGATAACGAGTTGTGGCAACAGGTAACGCTGGTCGTGTCATCGCGGGTTAACACACCTGAAATATTTCCAGGTTGAATTATAGAAACATTTATCAACTACGAAAGCAAAGATTAGCGTAAGGCACCAGACAATGGCCGTATTAGCTAGATAAAAATATTATTCAGTAAAATCATCATACAGAGTCACAATTGTACAGCATATCCAGTACATAGACACTGCCAGCATACAAACACCGAAGACAGTAAGTCGATGTAACTAAGGGTGGCCCGCATAGACAGTGAGCAGCGGTGCCAGTCTGTACAGCACATGATGGTGTCCGCGCGGTGAACTCTCTCACTCACAAGGCGTTTCTAATTGGTAAAAGTGAACCATTTACATCAGCCATCACAGTGTGTGTTTGACCAAGTGACTCTGGTCGGTAGATTTCCCATAATCAAAGTTAACTCATTAGTCTTGTGTTTTTCAAATGTCAGAACGAACCTCGCTGAACAAAATCACGTTTAGATATCCCACCTTGACAAGATACTCATTTACAATTATGCTTTCACAATGTTAGAATATAATATAAAAGCCAGCGATGATATCCCCCACCTCTCTCTCTCTCTCTCTCTCTCTCTCTCTCTCTCTCTCTCTCTCTCTCTCTCTCCGCTGGTCTCACGTTTACTGTTATATTCTTCATACATTTTAAGATGAGCTGTGTGAGGCTGCATAATCTTCTCACTCTGTTGTTCACATCATCTTACTCTTCATTCTCTGACCCGCATACTCGTAAACTGTAGACCTTCTTGTAGGCCTCCCTCATCTTCCTCTCATTTCTTCAAACTCGCATCTTTTGTACCTCCAAGCCCTCACTACTTCCCCACCATGCCTTAACCTCCTCCTTACTCACTCCCTTTGTACCTCCAAGTCCTCACTACTTCCCCACCATCCCTTAACCTCCTCCTTACTCACTTCCTTTGTACCTCCAAGTTCTCACTACCTCTACAACACCCCTTAACCTCCTCCTTACTCACTCCCTTTGTACCTCCAAGACCTCACTACCTGTACAACACCCCTTAACCTCCTCCCTCCAAGACCTCACTACCTGTACAACACCCCTTAACCTCCTCTCACTCCCTTTGTACCCAGCCCTCATCACCATTTCATTACCCTTAACCTCCTCCTTACTCACTTCCTTTGTACCTCCAAGTTCTCACTACCTCTACAACACCCCTTAACCTCCTCCTTACTCACTCCCTTTGTACCTCCAAGACCTCACTACCTGTACAACACCCCTTAACCTCCTCTTATAGACACACACACATACCACACAACAAATAGCTCGACCTTGCACGTTACAGAGCAGCGAGTGAGTCTTGTGTTGTAAAAGAGACGAATGATATAGGAAGGTTCTCCAGAAAATCACATACTCCACGAAGCTCAAAATCTGGACAGTATGACCAACTGTACACCGCCAGGTTAAACACTAGACGTACACTATTTCTTGGGAGTGTGAACAAGGTGAACAACACGAGATGAACACGTAGAGGTCTTGTTCCAATATTGTGTGTGTGTGTGTGTGTCAACCTCACTATCACCAATACCAAGTTCAAGGGTTCGTGGCAACACCCACACTGGCATCTCCCTCCCTCCAACTCAGTGTCTCAGGGAGCAGGCAGGGAGGAAGGAAGGGACATTTTTCTGGGACACCCTATATATTACTTTAAAATGGCAGATGATTATTATTTCTTTTTGTATAGAGATTATGATGGATCCTGGCCAACAGATTATTTTCATCAGGTTTAATTACAGGTGGGCTAGATAGCTCCTGCCACGCTGATTCCAAATCGTGTTGTGTACCAAGCTTATTTTCAGACATAGGTTTTTGTTAGGAATAAGACGAGGTAGTCAGTTGTTTTAAGAGAACTTTAATGATCACTGTTGCATCTTGGGTAAATGTTATAAATTATCTAATATCGAAAGTGTAATTAGTTGATACAGTAAGAAAACATTAAATCACATAATCTATAAGTTTTAAATTTTTACCTCATTTCGTTGTCGATATAAAACGTCAGTATAGTGATATATCAATAAGTGTAACGTAGGTCAAGGTTCACGGCACTGGTGTTGGTCATGATGGAGTTTGTCACTTTCTTCTCCCCGTCAGCGTCAGCCATGGGTCTGTCTACTCAGCAATGACGTCTGGAAACTGGAAGACCCTTTCATTCTGGCAGATGAAGCGCAAGTGACTGTTACAAGACTTGGCCCAGTACCTGACGGAGAGAGAAAAACAAGTGTCAAACCACCACGCCTTCTTCAGGGCACAGGATCTCAAATAAAGTTCTCACGTGAAATGTTTCCTCTGAAGAAGTACCTATGACCCCAAGTTGTGTTCACACCTTCAGTTACCAAGCGAAACAATATTAACGTTCGAGTCTTTGATAATTATCTGGATTCTGGTTTTCTCGTATCATTTGTCGAGAAGCAATAGTTAGTAATACCAATAACCGTTTACTTCTGAGACTTGGAATATACACCACTGAATCTTAGGGTCGTACTGAACGAGGCACATAAGCCATTACGGTATAAACAAAATAGGATCACATTGAAGATTTACCTCTAGATTATTTCACCTGGTGATTAAACACCCCTAAAGCTTACCTGTGGGAGTTAGGTTAGGTTAGATTAGTTTTAGATTTGGTTAGATTAGGTTAGGTGTAGGATAAGTGGTACTTACTTGAGGGTGTTAGAGCAGAAGTAGGCACAGTTGTTAGGGCTAGTGGAGGGTGACGTGCCCCACCAATTGGAAGCCATTTGACTTCCAGTAGCACTCCAGATCCAACGGCCGGACTGCACCTTTCCAGAGGTCCAGTATGTCCCGGGAACTGACCGTAAACAAAGAGTCGCCGTAAAGTTTATTGAATATGCATCAGTATTAGTGGGAATATAATAGATTCATTTATTCTCAATTGGTGAAGGCTCTCTCTCTCTCTCTCTCTCTCTCTCTCTCTCTCTCTCTCATTGTAGATTCATCCATACCAAAAAGATACAGCAATTCTAAACTCCCTCCTTTCTCTTTCTTCATGGTGAGAAAGTATTATGGTGGAAAGTTAGGATTAAGACCAATAATAATAAGAACGCGGAGAACAGAGAGATAGATGTAGAGAGGAAGAGAGAATGGGAGAGAATGACTGAGAAAGAACGGTGGAAAATAATTTGGACTTAGTTACATTAAATAGAGATTGATTAAGATTAAAAATTTAGAGAGAACGAGAGAAACTTTGAATAAAAAAGAGAAGAGAAATTATGAGAGAGAGAGAGATAATACAAAGAATAAAAGAAAGAAGGAATGAAGGAAAGCATAACACAAGGATTGAAAGAAAGTGATAGAAGAATGAGAAAGAAAGAAAAGGGGAAAAATAGAGAAAAGGAGTGAAAATTAATGATATAAAAATGAGAGAGAGAGAGATAACTTACAATTTGTGTTGAGATGGTTAAGTATACCGCTGTACTCGGCTTCCGTGATGACTGAAGCAAGTTCTGAGTTGACCTCCCGGCAAGTCTGGCCAGCCTGGCTCCATGAGAGGCGTTGCTGGTAGAAGCGGTAGCAGTTGTTGGCTATTTCGACGAAGCCTGTATCACACACAAGCGCCGCTGTCCAATAGAAGTGAAGTATTAGCGGATTTCTTCCTTGTTTAAATCGTCTAAGCTGTTCAGAGTCGTGGTGTATCACTTAATCACTTAAATGTTCAGGAATTTCTTGTTATCGCTGGGACCGTCAGCTAACCAAACCTAACCTATCTTCTCAAGAATTACTAAGTTACCTTTTCCCCAGATCCCAGATTATTAAAAAATTATTACGTTAATTTTTCCCTAGATTCCGGAATTCTCAAAGATGAGGTCGTCAATTTCCCCGGATTTCTTAATTTTAGAAATATCACAAGACGGTCGATAAAATGCAAGTGGGAAGAGACTGTCACAACGGCTATGCTGATGAAGACGACATTAACAGTATTTAAAGAAATTAATAGATTACTTGGCCATGGCTTGGTTGTGTAACTTCCCCAGGAAACTGTGTAAAAAACATCAAGGGACTCCGTATACACAACATCTAAGTGCCCACCGCACGAGTAAAGTTAAACAAGTATATGAAGTAGTTACAGGAGGCCCCAAAACATGTCAAGTGTCGTTAAAATGAGGTTATATCGTTCTAGTGAAGGTGGGTCCCGCAGACACACTGTATACTAAGCCTTCGGTATACTGTACTGTACTGTACTGTACTCCACCGCATTGTAATAATGTCAAGTGTTTTAGAGTAAAATTGCATGAAAATTCAGTTGAGACAAGTTCCCGTCGGGGATCGAACTAGCGACTCGTGGAACAGGAGTCGAGCTCTATATTCACTCGGCTACCACACACGAAGATCATTCTATGAATTCTGTACAAAATACGAAAAATACAATACGAAATGGTCGAAGAGTTACGTGTTTGACGGTCGTTGTTCTCAATTCTGGCGGAGCAGATCACCGCAGCCAGACAGACAAGCAGCAGCAGCAGCAGGACCCTCATGTTGTCACTCGGCCGTGGCACCAGCAGTAAGAGAGGCGAGGGAGTGAGGCGTCTTCCTGTGCTGCCGTTATTTATACCCTCGCCCGACAGTTCCAACACTCCTCGCCTAATTCAGTAAAAATAATATTATCCACCAAGTTCATAATGCGTTATAATAAACATATATCAACATATATCTCCAGGATATAGTATTTTATGTATAAGTAAAAACAACAGCAGATAGTGATTTAATTTTTAAGGAAAGATAATTTATTGCGTCATGTTTGCCATATTTGGTAGAGTGGCAGCGATGATAAAGTGATGGGTCCAAGACGTGAGTGTCTCCTCTGCGCCGACGAGTTGTCCTTGATATAATATAAGTTAGGTTAGGTTACTATGTTCTGTATACTCACTGATCCTAAGGAAGCTCACTTTTACTTTCCTAGTCGAACTGACGGACTACCTAACCTAACCACTCTCTCTTCCCCCTCTATCTAATCTTACCGAGAATTATATGAACTAAACTAGTATACTAAGGAGATTAACTTATAAATATATACAGAGATAAATGGAAGAAGCAAAATATCTGACTTGAAATTACACACACACACACACACACACACACACGCACACACACACACACACACACACACACACACACACACACACACACACACACACACACACACACACACACACACACACACACACACACACACACACACAGTTTATCCGGTAATGTTGTGAATAAAATTGAGGGCTGGAAGCAAAGGAGGCGTGATGAGAGGAAGAAGGAAGAATACGAAGAGGATAATATAAAGCATAAGAAGATGAGAGGAGGGGAGGAAACAGGAGATGCAGAGACACGATAAATGCCAGGTTAAACGAATGTACCAACACGGCAGGAACGAGGGAGTAAATATGTTCAGATAAGGGAGATTACTGCATATTAGTAGGGAGGGAGGACGGAGGGAAGAATATGGTGTATGTAAGTTATGAAAATAGCAAGGTAGGAAAAGTGGTAAGGCAGCTGTGAGGGGATAGAAAATGGGTAAAAGGGAGAGGAAGGACAGAAAACGGATAAATGGGAAGGGAGGGCAGAAAACGGATAAAGGAGGAAAGAGAACGATGGTAAGAGTATAGCGAGGCGGTGTTGTGGCAGGTAGGAACAAAGCTGGGGATTATTGATGTATTTATGAGCATCTTAATACGTCTTTCCTATATCCGGATTACTTGGAGTTTGATCCGGATTATTTGGAGTTAGATCCGGATTAATTGGAGTTAGATCCGGATTAAATGAAGTTAGATCCGGTTTAAATGAAGTTATATCCGGATTAATTGGAGTTAGATCCGGATTACTTGGAGTTAGATCCGGATTAAATGAAGTTAGATCCGGTTTAAATGAAGTTAGATCCGGATTACTTGGAGTTAGATCCGGATTACTTGGAGTTGGGGATTTAAGTAGTTTGAAGAGTTAACTGATCGAGGAGATTTTCTTCTGGTGTTCATAACCAAATCTTGGTGAGCTTTGATCCTTTTGCTGCCACTTGATCCTTTTGCTGCCACTTGATCCTTTTGCTACCACTTGATCCTTTTGCTGCCACTTGATCCTTTTGCTGCCACTTGATCCTTTTGCTACCACTTGATCCTTTTGCTGCCACTTGATCCTTTTGCTACCACTTAATCCTTTTGCTGCCACTTGATCCTTTTGCTACCACATGATCCTTTGCTGCCAGTTACGATCCTTTGCTGCCACTTGATCCTTTTGCTGCCACTTGATCCTTTTGCTACCACTTGATCCTTTTGCTGCCACTTGATCCTTTTGCTACCACTTAATCCTTTTGCTGCCACTTGATCCTTTTGCTGCCACTTAATCCTTTTGCTGCCACTTGATCCTTTTGCTGCCACTTGATCCTTTTGCTGCCACTTGATCCTTTTGCTGCCACTTGATCCTTTTACTACCACATGATCCCTTTGCTGCCACTTAATCCTTTTGCTGTCACTTGATCCTTTTGCTGCCACTTGATCCTTTTGCTACCACTTGATCCTTCTCAATGATGTTTTCTCTGTAGGATATCGCATTCCGTTTACTCTCATATTCAATCACAGCGCTGAAGCAGATCCTCTGATTCCTTTTATCGAGTCCTTCAGGCACTCCAGCGCTGCCTTTGAGACGCACTTGGCTTCCTTCACTACCCCCGCTAACTTCTCCTCCGCTCCAAGTGTTCTCTTTAGTCTTCTTCTTAAACAAAAACTTTTCTGCCGCTGACTTTCCCACACACATTGTCCAGGACTTTGAACCTCAGCTTTAATAGTCGGAACGTAAGCCATTTAATTATCTTACAGTACAGTCAACAACCCCCATTTTATTTTCCTTATTAACAAATATAATTTACTCGTGCACAATGTAAATACTAATAAGAGATATATTAATGTAGCTCAGTTCACTAACAACTCTTATGATAATGATCCAACTTGGCTGCCATCTTCATATCATACTTTTGAATTTTTGAAAGGCATCTTTATGATAACATGTACTGTACCTGTACCTTTAATTGGAGTTAGATCCGGATTACTTGGAGTTAGATCCGGATTAAATGAAGTTAGATAGTTTCGAGTTGAAGTTAGATCTTCGAGATTCATTCTTGGAGTTTGATCCTTTGCTGCCACTTGATCCTTTTGCTACCTGACACACTTGATCCTTTTGCTGCCACTTGATCCTGCTTTGCTGCCACTTGATCCTTTTGCTACCACTTGATCCTTTTGCTGCCACTTGATCCTTTTGCTACCACTTAATCCTTTTGCTGCCACTTGATCCTTTTGCTGCCACTTAATCCTTTTGCTGCCACTTGATCCTTTTGCTGCCACTTGATCCTTTTGCTGCCACTTGATCCTTTTGCTGCCACTTGATCCTTTTACTACCACATGATCCCTTTGCTGCCACTTAATCCTTTTGCTGTCACTTGATCCTTTTGCTGCCACTTGATCCTTTTGCTACCACTTGATCCTTCTCAATGATGTTTTCTCTGTAGGATATCGCATTCCGTTTACTCTCATATTCAATCACAGCGCTGAAGCAGATCCTCTGATTCCTTTTATCGAGTCCTTCAGGCACTCCAGCGCTGCCTTTGAGACGCACTTGGCTTCCTTCACTACCCCCGCTAACTTCTCCTCCGCTCCAAGTGTTCTCTTTAGTCTTCTTCTTAAACAAAAACTTTTCTGCCGCTGACTTTCCCACACACATTGTCCAGGACTTTGAACCTCAGCTTTAATAGTCGGAACGTAAGCCATTTAATTATCTTACAGTACAGTCAACAACCCCCATTTTATTTTCCTTATTAACAAATATAATTTACTCGTGCACAATGTAAATACTAATAAGAGATATATTAATGTAGCTCAGTTCACTAACAACTCTTATGATAATGATCCAACTTGGCTGCCATCTTCATATCATACTTTTGAATTTTTGAAAGGCATCTTTATGATAACATGTACTGTACCTGTACCTACTGACCTCTTGCCCCCCCCGCCACTCATCTTCGTCTGTATCGGATCCTCTCATATACAGTGAACAAATAACATTCTTTTCTCCTCCTGAAGAAGACGTTATAAATGGGACCGCAGCACCGCCCCGGCCTCCCCTGTTCCTCCTTTGACTTTACGAGTGAGAAAGTAAGTCTCCAGCATCATCCTGGCCTCTCCACCGGCCCTTGACCTTGTATTCATCGTGAAGGGTGGGCGTTTATCTCAAGGGCGAGCTATTGGTAGACTCACACACCAGACCTTCAAGACCACCTCTGGCCCTCCCTACCTTTGTTTATTCACCAGGACACGTTCTCATTGTTTATTTTTTGTTATCGTAAAGGCAGAAGTCACCGTAAACAATGACACAGTGTTGTAGCCGCTCTCAACACTGTCTACACCAACCCATACTTATCGTAGGTTTGTTTACGCGGCAAAATACAGGTATGTTGTCTTCAATGTTTACACTTTCACCTAACCTAACCTAACTACCATCTCTATGCACCCTGAATTTTTCCCCGTCTCTCATTCTCGTCTGGCCCAACTCTGTCTAAGAATACTATAATACCTGTTTTATCTCTTTGTCTGTGTGTGTGTGTGTGTGTGTGTGTGTGTGTGTGTAGCTGGATGTCTCGCGGCTGCAGGATGTACACCCACAAGTACCCTATGAAAATCCTCCTCGCCTGAACAAAGCCTTGAACCAACTCATCAGCGTGGCATTCAGAGATAGTGAAGTACGAGGTCTACTGAGGTACATGACGATAATAATCCTCTAAATGCTTCCTGTCCATACAATATTGTCCTTTCGATTTGTCTAACTTTCAACACTTCTCAGGGATGGGAGACAAGAGGAGTGTGTGTGTGTGTGTGTGTGTGTGTGTGTGTGTGTGTGTGTGTGTGTGTGTGTGTTTGCGTGTGTGTGTCGTCAGTAGGAACAACAAGAATTAACACAATAACCTCAACAACACTAAAATAACAAACCTTCCATTGTAATTATAAAAACCCACTTATTTATGTATTTTAAACCAGTCACTAATTATACCATTAATATAATAAGTATTTAATTTTTAGACCCACAATTATAGTAACTAGTTTAATCATTTACTAATATAACTTGTTTGTATCACAGCAGCAGACGCTAACATGACAGACAGACCTTGATCGTGATGTCAGTCGACCATTGTAATTGATATTATTGATGAAATAGGACGTCGTTCATAGCTCCCGCCAACGACATAGAAATTAATGTTTCTTCAATAATTAATTTATAGTATTTTTAATGTATGTTGCAGCTTTTAGAGGAGTTGAGACTTGATACTAAAGCTGTAATTGATATATATATAGAAGAGTATCAAGTATTCAAAGGAAACAGAGGTCATTGTATACATCTGGTGGTAAGTCCTCACGGCTAGACAACACAGATTTGGCTTAACAGGATCTAGCAAAACTTAAGGCGTAACTGACTGTGTGTTTCTGTAACTCGTAAAGAAGAGCGTGTCGTGATATAAGTCTAAGGGTCTTCACTGCGATAGTTCATACACAGTACAGGACTATATATAAAGACTGAACAGAAACCGAAGAAAAAGACTTAATTTGTGGTTTAAAAAGTGTGCATAGTAATTTCCCAGCAGTATCGAGGGAAGATAATGATATGTAGTACGCTGCTGAATACGTATTGAGAGGCGTTCAGTTATGATACGTCCCTGACACTGAGAGACGGTGAGTTATGACACGTCTCTAACACTGAGAGACGTTGGAAGTTATGACACGTCCCTAACACTGAGAGACGTTGGAAGTTATCACATGTCCCTACTCCTTCAAGTTTTTGCGAGGTGACGTATTCTATTTATGTGTTTGTTTGTTTTAAAGCCAGAAAGAACCTGTTTAGAAATGGTATTAGACGTTTCTTGAATATTCTTACACAGTCTAACACAATCTCACTTGTCATCATATTTCTCCCGTTCCTGGAGCCCTGCCACCACTCACATCATCAGACAAATTATGGCTCTCCTTGATGCCTAACCACGGCCACTTGTCTCCAGCTGCCTAACCACGGGCACTTGTCTTCAGCTACCTAACCTCGGCCACTTGTCACCAGCTGTAACCACGGCCACTTGTCTCCAGCTGCCTAACCACGGGCACTTGTCTCCACGTCACTCAACCAGAAAAACCACCCAGCACCTGCAGAGTCCCCCTTCAGACCACAACAATTACTTTCCCTATCGTAACCTTGTCTTATCGCGTCACAACTTCTTGACACAACTGGGCATCAAATTTTTTTAGGGCCCCTTATTCTTGTTGTGATTTTCTTTGGTATTGTCTGTCAAGTTTGTTCTTCGGTCAGTGCCCCCCCCTAGGTACATTGTCATCTTACCGAGAGGAATAATGCATCGTAAGCAAAGGTTTAACTCATGGTACTCAATGAATGAATCAATTAAATTCGAGAATGTAAGATATCTTGTTCAGTGATTTAATTCATTGTACTGAAGGGGAAGGTATCGTACTCAAGGTGAAGTCATTGTACTCAAGGTATTAAAAAGCCTGGCCATTGCCGACATTCTAAGTACGAAAAGGGGGTAATTTGATATTTTTGTCATATTTACCGTCACAGTTCATAATGCGTTCCCTTCCCAATGGTGTATCTCGACTAAGCGACCCCTCCACCACCTGAAACACGGTCCAATATGTAGCCGTCATTCCTTACCAGTGCAAATACTCGTTTTTCCCTGTTATTTAGGGTGTTTGGTGTTAGCCTTTACTTGTGATTCTTCCACTGTTGCTTCACCAGTGTAGCTCAGGTGGTCAAGTGGCCATATGCTGCTGTTGGGTGATCAAGAGAGTACCCGTACGTGAACCAGTGACCCCGAGGACAGAAGACTGAGTGCCTTATCCACTTGGCCATCGCACCCCCTGCAGCAGTCAGATGTAATTGATTCATAACCATATATGGAACAGTTGGTAGCCCTGTCTAGCCATCTTAACGCTGTGGCTTCGTATTCTACATTGTGTTGTCTGTGCATATCATTATACCATTCACGTTTGAGGTTTGTTGTTTCTATTATGTGTAAGACGAAGAGATCCTTTTGTTAGCGACACGTAATGGAATATTGGAGTGACTACGACATTTTGGACGTAATAGCAATGATACTTTAGGTGGAGACCGATCACAGGTACGCGTCGCCTCACCCACGTCAAAGGAAGTCTTCGGTGCTGGAACAATTAGTTTACGAGGTGTTGTCGACCACATGCTGGTAGACTGCAGTGTGTGTGTGTGTGTGTGTGTCTTTATACTAAAATAGCCTTGTATCATTCGACTTGTTAGGTACTTTGCCACGTCAGAAATTCTCACCTCCTTACCTTCAAAACTGTACACGGAGATCACGAACAAGCATACAAGCAAACATGACCAAACAACCACCGTGTTTGTATATTACCTAAAGTCACTTCCACATCAAACCTCAGGTTACACCTTTGGTTTTGTTACTTCATTTTCATCACACGTGTAAGTTAACTTCAGTAATCAGGTTCTCACGATACTCATCTTACTTCATGTTATTGCCTTATGCGCGTCACCTTCAAAGTATAATTAACCTGACCTAATGTGTGTGTGTGTGTGTGTGTGCCAGGGTGTACGTGGGCAAAGACGTGTGGGTGTGTGTATGTCTGCGTTGGCTAGGGACGTGTGTGTGTGTGTGTTAGTAGCATCATATTAAGTGTATTGACGCCACTTAACCCTGAAATACCTGGTAGTGAACTAGAGTAGTGACCACTGTTGATTAATGGTTTAGATCTGAAAACATTAAACTAGTTATGTTTCAGTGTTATTACAGCATTCATTTAAATAATTCTGTAATGTAAATTTGACACTGATTTATTTGAAATGTACCCGAATGTTTTTATTATTACGAGTAAATCAGTGCTACTTTAAATTTGCTATTTAAACGAAAGGTAATGTCAAGAATGTGCATTTGTAGTCTAGCCTAGTAATTAAAATCGTCAGAATGCGCACTGAAGAAGTCGAGGTTGAAACTGAGATTTTCATTATAATTTCTTCAGTACGTTAATTTTGTATTTGTGACAGAAAGGTATTTTATCAATTATTTTTCTTAGTGATTTTTTATACAATAATTGCACTTTAAACCACACGAAACGTCGTTATTAAAAAACAAATACTTTAATGCTCTTATAGCGATAGGAATGATAGGTTACAAACATTACTTGGCTGTAGCACTAAAGTATATACAGAATTATTCGAATTGCTAACATACGTGTTAATTGCACACTAATTCTGTTTTAATAAATTTGATTTATGTACTTATGACTGCAAGGTGTATTTCGAATTCACCATTCATATTTTCTATCAGTTATAGTTTGTCTTTTTAATTTCTTATTTTTCAATAAGTCTTCATAGAAATATAATGTTTTGGTTTATCGAGTGACTTTACTTTGTAATACAGTACATTATAAATACTGCAGCATCAATTTCTGGCAAAGGATAACATTAAAACACAAACACAAACGTTATGATATAGGAACATTTACGAATTACAGAATACCTTGCCTAACCAAAATAGCCTAACCTAACTAACTGACCCTAAACTGGAGAAATTTAACCTACCTAGAACCACTAAGGTATATCAAAATCGTCTGGTGGCGAGGTTCGGTGCTTCAAGAAAAATAAAAATAAAGATTAACGTTCATCTTTCAACTCTTGAAGAG